GAATCAACATCTGACCAGTACCGTGTATTTAGATATAAGACAGGGTCAACAGTGTAATTATGTTGGCTTGAGAAGGAATTATTCTTCTCCTGAAACCAAAGTTTCTGACTCTAACTCATACAGCTTTCAAGCTACAACAACCAAACTTGGGTGAGACCTTTAGACTGTTCTGACTCACGTTCCTATATCTTTTCTAATTTATCTGACTTTGGGAATACCCGTACCGGACTTTCGAACAATCCCATATTCCCAAAGACTTTCATTGCCAGGTTAAAAACTTTTATACAATAACTCTTATATTAAACTCTATATAAAGCGTATTTAAGCTTTCTGTCACTATATCAAAGCTTAACAACTAGCCTAGGACAACATGCTAAAACATGTTAGCCATGTGTTAAAACATGCTAGTAACATTCTTATTCATGCAACAAAATGCTAAAACATGTTAATATACTAATTAATGCTAGAAACATGCTAGCAACGTGTTAAAACATGATAGCAATGAGCTAATTAATGCTAGAAACATGCTGAAACATGTTAAAATGTGTTAATTCATGCTAGAAACATGCTATAACATGTTAGCAATGTGCTAATTAATGTTAGAAACATGGTAGTAACAGAGAATGTCTAATAAGGAGAGAACTCCCACTCTCAGTAAACTTCCGGCTTCTGAACTGGTTGCAGTTCCACTCTGGTCCCATATGAGGGCGCTCACAGGACGAGTGCAGAATGAATGGAGGTCTATGGAGCTATACCCCTAAAAATCCACTTTTCTCAAGATATAATTTTTTGTCTAGTAATTTGAATGTATTCGAAACGAGATGCAAAGAAATTACACATTGTTGGGTGTTAGATTTTTTTAGAGTCACTTATTTGCTTTAAAAAGTCTTTTAAAATGTCAATGACGTCATACACATCGTACGACCAGAGATACTGCTTAACGGCAATCCTTCGGTCACTTTGGTGCTTTCAGGCTCTGCACTCTTTCCTCTCGAGACATCGACAACACAGCTGACACAGGTAAACACACGAGCTAGAAGAGTTTTTGTAAAACTAAAGTTCTTAACATTCTGGTCCCGCTTCGGATGCCACGATGCCATCAAGCGGTATCTCTGGTCATAATCAGTCCTTCACTGACCAACCAGCGTTCATTAGCAGAATGCTAGCGTGTTATGGGCAACAACAACTCAACCTGTAAGAAATCGAAAGGACATAAGTACTCGTTCATTCAACTTTCGACCTATAACCCATGTAATGTTGAACTAGCAAAACCTACAATCAAATCTGAGATTTCTCAACGGCAATCGGGTGAAAGAGACACATTTAGCCGTCTAGCTCCATAGACTCCCATTCATTTTGCACTCATGGGCGATCGCCCCCAGTGGAACTCTGGTGGAACTACAACCAAAATTCGGTACAATAGGACTTCAAGGGCACCTATTATGGAATTTTGAAAATTACCTTTCATGTAGTGTGTAACATAGATCTAAGTGAACAAAAACATCCTGCAAAGTTTATGTATGAAAGTTCACCGTAAAAAAAGTTATTGTCTCTCAAAAGTATGAGTCGACTCTGAGTCAATTTAATGAATCGGTTTTCCAATTAGTAATTTTCCTTTTCGTTGTGATGCAAGACGAAAAATTATCAAATTGGCCGCACCCACTCATTGCGCGCGCAGACACCAGGGAAAAGTTGAAAACATCATGTCGACAACAAGACGCTGTGTTCTGAAGTGCGAATCAAAAGCGACCTTTTTTCCACAGCCCAGGGACGAGCATGTGAAGAATCAGTGGCTACAGTTCATATACAACTATACCACACAAGTATAGGCCGAACCTTGTGCTGTGTTCGCGTCATTTTAATGACGATTGCTTTACAAACATAAATGCGTTCAAGTGTGGATTCGCGAGCCGGTTGATACTGAAAGAAGGTTCAGTACCAAGTTTATTTGGATCAGTTTCCTCCTCCGAATCACAACCTGTAAGTATTATTAATAATTGTTGCTTTTATGTGTTTTGTAGCATGCTCAATAAGTATTTGTGTGTGTTGTGTAAGTTACGCTCAGTGCAGCTTCTAGGTCTCCAATGTCAATTTTTTTAAAAATATGTGAAACACATGTCGTTGTTATTGGAGTTGTCATAAAGAATAGAGCAATACCTTGTAGTACTGCAGTGCTTTATCAATATGTTTATGCGTTGGGCTAACGCAAACAATAACTGATTGGGTCATCTGACCAATCACCGCAGATTAGCGTCGAGCAAAGGAGGGGTTTGGAAAAATGAGTCGTTGAACGAATCATTTGGGAGTCGGTGAGCAAATCCGGTAAAAATAAATGCATATTATAAGACAACAAAAGTGTTTTTTGTCATTGCATGCATGTAAAACTTTTGTTAGGGACTCCCAAAACAATATTAGGAACATTTTCAATGCCATAATAGGTGCCCTTTAATAGGGAGTGGCCAAGCTCTCCGTAGACGGGGTCTGGTAGTAATGTGCTAATTCATGTTAGAAACATGCTAGCAATTTGCTAATTCATTCTACCAACATGTCTGTGTTAACTGATGCTAGAAACATGTTAAAACATGATAGCAATGTGTTAATCCATGCTAACAGTGTGTTAAATAATGCTAATAACATGCTGAATGCGATGAGTGATGTTTTACAGGTGCAGTGAGAGCCAGAGCGGGACTCTCTGATCTACAGTCACTGCATGCTGTGGGACGGCTATATTTAGATCAAGACTATCGCACAACAACCACAACACTGGCCACAGGTGCACAGTATACCCACACACTGACATGCTAACAGCACACACACACACACACACAGAGGCATTGTGAGAGAGACCGCGAGTCTACAAGGTAAACCGCATATCAATCAAGGCGGTCTGACAGACTGACACTTCTCTTTTACAATTACAGTATTTTTAGCCTCTCGTGTCAAAATCGCCTCTTCAATCAACTCAAGCGTAAGATGCAGAAACGGAGCCATGACAATAACTTTCAGCTAGCTATGTTGACTCAGGGCACTTCTTTAATGAGTTTTTTGCTCGATTTATCATCCTGCAGCTGGCAAAAATGCAAAGTTAGATTGCTTAGAAAAGTAATCGCTCTTGTCATCAGCAAACGACACGATTTGAGATATCAGTGAAGTCCTAAACACAACTGGAGTGGCTAGACAATGTTAGACAATGAAGTTTAATATTCACAAACCCCTAACCCTTATTTTGAGCAATCGTAAACACTAAATATTAATAATCACAATTTTGTGAAAATACAATAATTTCCAGAGAATTCCTTGATGCAGAACAATCCCTTGTGAAAAAGAAGTACACTTTATTACAAAGGGCACTTTTAAAAAGTGTGTTAAGAAACAGTTATGAAAGTGTGCTCTCTTTAAGTACACTAAAGTGCCCTTTTATTTCATTAATGTAATATCATCTGCAAGTAGTTTTTAAAAAATAGATTTGAAGATTTGAAGTTGCACAAGCGCAATATTCAGTGCACACTTCTCTTTCAGGAGGGATGCCGTGTCTGTGAGTGTGCATGTGTTAACCACACGCAAACACATTCCCTTCAGATGAATGTCTGGCTGTGGAGATTTTGTGTGATGACAGAAGTGTGTAGTTATGTAGTGTTTTGGTTACATAACCTGCAATAACCATTCAGGCGCTCAATACCACTTTATGTGGAGGGGACACAAGGATATGGAGTTATTTCCAGTGTAAATCCGCGAATCCCATCATACAAACTTTGCTTCCAGTAACACAAAAGAGAGGATCTGCATTCCCATAAGTGCATGTGTTAGTTTCACAGACACACAACACATCAATAGTCTGGCACATCAACAGTCATGAGAGACGTGTGTGTGTGTGTGAGGCCGATGAGAGTCTGCATACCGATTAGCAGTGTTGGGCAGTAACGCAGTTACTTTATGAACTTTTGACAGTAACTCATACTGTAACGCATTACTTTTTAAATAAATTAACTTACCGTTACCGTTACCATATGGTGCGTTGTCCGTTACTTTTTTAAATTAATTAATTTGGGCTGAAGTGTAGCCTACAGCCTAACCTGTTTACAGCAGCGACGCATTGTTGGTGGTAGGGTTGCCACCGTCCCTTATGTGAATTACACTGCGCAAACTACTACCCACCGACTGAAGAAGGGTTGGCTCTCAGTCTCCACAGAACAAAATATTCATTTTATTTTATGTTTAGTGTTTGCATTTATGGAAAAACAATGTTACGGACGTGACAGTTCTCCGTTACGGACGCGATGCGCTCTGAAAGCGGCACTGAAAGATGCTTTAATACTTTCACAGAGACATCAAACAGAAAGCACAAAACCTTTCTTTAAGTGAATTTCGTTTTGTATTAATTGTATCTTAATTTTAATCAATGTTTCATCAACCAATTGCCTGGATTTAATAAATAAGAAGTAAATATAGCAGACGATAGATAATCACGAAACGGAGGCGCCGGCGCGTGAACTGGAGCTCGTCTCATAAATGAACCGAAACTCGGCGTATTAGGTAGCCTACTTGCCTCAGACATGTCTACTTTTAAACAGAACAATTCAAAATGAAAGGAAACAGACTACAGACTGCTCTCTGCTTATGTAATCCGTATGAAATGTGCATTTCTCTCTGGCGCATTCACTACTGCGAAGATCGCGAGTCAGCATCGTGAGTCACCTCAGAAATCCTTGTGATATATTCAGTTTGTGCTGGTCTGACTCAAATAAAATAGTGTTTAAAAATTAAGTCAGTTTTGTGTTTGTATAGACCATAACGCATAAAAGGGCATTAATGGGAACATTAAAGAATGTTGTTTTTTTTTTTTAAGTAACTAAAAAGTTACTTTTAACAGTAATGCATTACTTTTTGGTGTAAGTAATCAACAAAGTAATTGAGTTACTTTTTGAATGAAGTAACTAGTAACTGTAACTATTTCCTATTTAACTAGCACAACACTGCCGATTAGACTTAGCAATACTCACTTGTTTAATGTGAGGTCGAGAATGAATTGGGATCCAAAGGCCTGAAGTTGGAATGAAGCCTGAGCGAGATGAACCTCCTGTTGAAGAAAGAAAAACACAGATTTAGAGTCAGCGGATGCTAGAATGACCAAACGCTTACAGATCAAATCCCTCGAGCTGTCACGGGAAATGCAATCATTTCTATGGTGCATTCAAAACATTGTTAAGCAATTCTAAAGCAATGTCTGAGCGATGTCATTATCATAGTAATAATCACAAACATCTTCTTATCAGGGCTGGTGAAATGTGACTCCCACAGTCAGTGGTAATGTCTATTTTCAGCTCAAGTGTTGCATAAAGTTGTTTTGAACATATCTTTGGTTTTGCTTCCAGTAAGTTAATAAATAAGAAAAAGTAATTAAATGATGCAGTGTCTGTTGTGTAATATGGCGGTTTGGGATGAATTTCTAGCCTCATTTATATATAATAATTATTATCAAATAAAGGGGTGTGTGTGTACACTTTAGAATACTTTTAGAATAATTATTAGGGGAAATAATATATTTTAAAAGAATTCACTAAATGTTACATTTTCGGACACTTAATTGTGTGTTAATTGCAATTACATTTTTTATTTAATGACTTTATGGTGCTTTTTGAGCCAATTCAGAAGGACGTCTTAAGCACATCTTTATATGTAATATCATAATTACTTCTATTGTCTATGAAATATGGTTAAAGTGTACAGATGAATGTACTGACAAGCATTTATGGTTAAATAAAATACACTTTCATGTAATTTCTATTGAAACTTGAATGTCATGTAGCTTATTAAAATATATTTCTAATTACACATTAGTAAGTACTTTACGTGACCTGTACACATTAAATTAAGTGTAAATATTTAAAGCACAACAGAATATTATAACACAATGATGTAAAATGGATTTTAAAGTAAAACATTTTATATGACATTTTGTGAGTTAGGAAACAGTCATGAAAGTGTACTTTAAATAAGTGGCATTTAATTCATTAATATTATACTGTTTGCAACCACAGTTTTTTTATGTACTTTTAATGTTTGAAGAAAGTGTACATTCAATAAACTTAAGATCACATCTTTTCCACAGGGATCTAATAAAGGGATCAGTGTGAGTAGCTCTGGCTTATTTTGGCCACCGGAGGATCCGCTCGCTTTAGCAGCTTTCAGGCATCTTATCCTACATCTTCCTCTACGGTTTACTTGCCATTGTAAATGCAACCATTCTGAAGTCGTGAGGCATTAGGCCGCATAGTAATGGATGCCAATATGCAAACAGCAACAGCAGAACATAATAATATTAAGATCCTCAAGTCAAGTCATCTTCATTTATATAATGCTTTTAACAATGTAGATTGTTCCTACATTTATAATGGTATAATGGAACTGTCCCACTTTACTATTCATATATAACGGCACTGGAAATTTAATTCATATATGGACCACTGCACTTTAAATATTCTGTGTTTTTTATTGTTGTTTTTTTTAATCTGACCACCTTACTAGATGGTAACTCTTGTTCTGCATTGCGTTTAATGTAAAGAAATGAGCGGCTAAAGCTTCATCTTGTTGCACAGTGTATGAATATCACATTTGGAGAGAATTCGGCACATTGCCTGTTAGCTGAGATCATGGCTGGATGAAAGTTTCTTAAAACAGTCCTGTTGTGTTCTCTTAAGTGGGGTTTAATAATGCATGAGTTAGTGTTCAGTGATGCATCGAGTTTGATTGTGCTGGGAGCATTACATTATGCCTGAAGCTCGTTTACTTGGGTCTGAATGTCCATGAGAAGAAGTCAAAAGATAAGATAATGTGATAATACGAAAAGTGTGATCCTTACCAAACACAACAAGTCCCCTATCCTGCCCCAGCAGTGTCTTACTTAGATCCGCGCACATTTCTATGGACATAAGCTGATGTATCATATTCAGTCAGGATACTGCGCTCAGTGAAGCCGCTCTCACCTGTGTGTGTGCGTCAGGGATCTTGCTGCGGGTGTCCAGGTCATGGTAGGTGCTCTCAGAGGCTTCGTTCAGGTAGTAGATGAGGCGAGAGGGGTATGTGAGTGTGCGCTGTGAGTCCTGCGGGATGCTGGCATTGTGCGCCTGTCCCGCTGCAGTATCATCTGACACCGCTTCCCTGGGGATCTCAGCCTCCAACACTGACAACACACACACACACACACACATGACTGAAACCGTCTTCACGTCCGATGAGCACTCCTGACACTAACACCATCTAAACTAGGCCAATCTGACACTGAACCTCAAAGAAATCAGTGAGGAATGTACAGGAAGGCTTTGGTGTCAGTGTGCAGACTACAATACATGCGTCACAAGAGAATACATCTATTTAGACTATTCATAACAATGTTATAAAGCTCTGGTACTCGTGTTATCATTTCTCACATTATGACATTATTATTGTAGCTATGATAAATAGTATTGCTAAGAGGCAGGACATGATACGGGTGCCTTGCCTTTTTCCCCAGGCCCAATGAATAAGTTATTATACCATTGAAGACTTTTATTGGGATCCCTCTCTACAAGCATTCCTGGTTTTCATGAAATTCCCTCTGAGAAATAAAACCAGACTCAAAGTGAGATTTCTAAAGTCAATTTCTCAAGATTAAATGCACAAGAGGACTCCGAGCTCTAAGCAATAGTATTAATCGAGGCATTAAAGAGATTAGGCTCCAAAAATACATGTAAACTTCTGCAGTGTCCTCTGACTGTGAGCCCAGACCACATCAAGTCTCAGAGACACACTGAAGCTGTATTAGCATGCACATGTGTGTGTCTGTCTCTCTCAGTCAGGACACTTTGCTCCCTGCTGTCCTCCGCATTCACACACACACACACACACACACACACACACACACACGATGCCCTTGCAGAAGCACAACTCCCTGAAAACATCCCGAACTGCACAATCGCGAAAGCACATCACATTTCTTTATATAAACACATTACAACTATCATGTTTCGCACTGCGGTCTGTGTAAGTTCAACACAGAGTGATTCGGTTAAGGTTAAGTACGTACCGGCTGACGCGGACGCCACGAACGGCTGGAGTCGAGAAGCGAGGATGCACGCGAGCAGATTTGACAGTACTAGCACACACATGATTCATAGTTGGTCTATGGAATAGCGCGAGGTTAACGTATGGATGCGGTGACTCGCTAGGGGCTCATTGTCCTTGATGGTCCTGATGGTGCTGATGGTGCAGAGCGTGAAGGCGGTGGCCAGCGCGAGATCTCCGCGAGCACGCTTCAGATAGTGATGATGATGCTCACTCCCGCGCGCAGGTGCCGTGCCCGTGCATCTGCCCACATGATCCCCTGCCCTCTATACCAGCTGATCTGCGCACACTTATTTGCATAACATTGTATTTTAAATATATGCATGCATATTAAACTTAAAGGTATGATAAGAAAAGATTATACATGTCTTGTACACAGTTCATATATTATAAATATATATATTATAATGTTATATGACTTCTATAGTATATTATTATAGTATATTATAGGCATAGGCCAGATCTTTTATAGGCCTATTTGGCACTGGCAGTATGTACAGTATTAAGGTATCTATAATTTTATTTCAATCATGACAACTCTCAAAATAGTTTTAGCATTGAATATGGCAACGTTAATACATTTGGTCTTGGTGGACTATGTAAGAAATGCATAAATAGACACACATAAATCCCGTATAGCAGATGTGCAGGTGGAGCTGGGGAGGTGGAGGGGTTCAGACTAGCCTACAGCAAACACTGATACACTGATACATATCCGATATCTGGACATCCGACCGACGTCTGATCACACATATCCGATTCCCCTTTGAATTCAGGCCACCACAAGGCGAGGACGACACGTTTATTCAGAGAGATATCTTTTTAATGTTGTATTATGAGTCTGTATGCGCTCGCTCACAGCTTTTATTGAGATGGGAACTTTATATTTATCTTTCTGCACGAACACAAAAACATTCAGGAGCTGGTTTTTTCCCTCTGCCCGTGACTTTTATAAATTAAACAGCTTCACTACTGAAAGCTACATTATGTCTCAGCAATGAGGTGATAACTTCACTGTAATTAAACCAACAAGCTTCACTTTTAGGTTACTCGCACACTCTCTCACTCTCTCTTACTCTCTCGCTCGCTCTCTGATTAATTCATTCGAATTCATAAAAAAAAATATATTACAGGGCTACTTTATTTCACTTCTAGATCTGAGCTGTAGATAAACAAAAAACATTTCCGGACTTATATATCTGTTCCATCAGAGTCATGGCAGCTGTTATCTTGTCCATGCTGGAAAATAATCATGACCACCCAACATGAATTATATAAATCATTTTAATAGCACGGCCATTCAAAACCAGGGTCTATGTGGATAGTAAAACAATCACCAAAAAACATATTGGCAATACGTTGGTAAAAAAGGAATTAGATATTTTTTTCAGCACATGTAATGTTTTAAACACTACTATTTTTTTACAGTGTTTTAGAAGATCTACATGTATAATTTTCATATGTGGAGAGATAACATGGAAGATGTGCCATGCTTTAGTGCGCATGAAAATACCACTATAACCAGTAGATGGCTGCAGAGGACCACTCATTTCCCTTTTATAGTTATTTTCGTGTGTTTTGCTTTTGGATTTATTATAAAATAAATATTATAACAATTTTAGCATATTTAATAATGCACTGAAGTATAGAAAAGTCACAAAGTATCATGCAATTTAGATGAAAGGAATTTCATAAAATAAAGAAATGATTAAGCCCAGATTTTACAGTGGATGGGAAACCATCTTGAATTGCTCCTATACATCATATCATGTAAACTGCATTTATGGCAAAGAACTATACAGATGCAGATGAATAATAATAATAAAGATAATTAAAGCTGCAAGCAGCATTTAGCGGTGTTCAAGCAGTTAAGGCCTTTAAGGCCGTTAAGCACAAAAGCATCAAAAGACATTAAGTTTTATGTAGCAAGCATTTAACCACTGACATCATAGATGGAATAGACCATGTTTTAGCATGATTTGCCATGATATACCACATTTCAGTTGGATTTTTCTTGATTTACCATGTTCCAGTATGATTTACCATAGTTTACCATGATATACCAAGTTCTAGTATGATTGACCATGATTTACCATGTTCTAACATGGTTTACCAGAATTGAACACATTCTAGTATGATTTAATATGATTCTAACATGGTTTACCATAGTTTACCATGATTTATCTTAGTTTACCTTGATTTACCATGTTATCGGATGATTTACCATGATATAGCACATTCTAGAATGATTTACCAGGATTCTAGCCTGATTTACCTTATTTACTATGATTTACCATGTTTCTGGCGTTATTTACCATGATTTACCACGTTGATAGACATTATGTGAAGCATCAGAACAATTGAATTGATAAACTCTGACAAAATATGATTGTGTTATAATAGTAATTGTTATATAAGTGATTTATTATTGTCTATATATATGAATGCAAAAGCACATGTGAAAAGACTATTAATAAGTAGAGAGGGCAGTAGAAGACCACTTACTGACTCACTTTCATTTTGAACACACTTGGTTTCACCAGTATTCTGCACTAAAACAAACTTACATACACACACACACACACACACACACACGGGATATGTTATTGTGAAAATCTCTTTTAATGGTATATAAGCAGGTGCTTGAACACCTAATAATGGGGGACCTTTTTGACAGTTATAGCGCCACCTATGGTCCGATCTCCATGAAACTCTGCATGCTTCTTCACCATGTTAGGACACATGTGCTCATCAATTTTTGTGAAGTTCTGAGTTTTTATTTATGATTTATAGGCTTTTGAGTGTATTTTGACACGCCCCCTTTTCTAAATGACCCTGTTACAGTGAACCAAAGTGCAAAGTTCAACTTTTTTTTGATAATTATTGATCTAGAGAGTCCATAGAATTGTCCTAGACTGGTCTGGTTCCGATCAGGCAAAAAACCAGGGACTAGTTCGCAAAAGTAGGTTTTGGACAAAATTGGCCATAACACATTTTTCTTTGCTCAAATCGACAATCCGAGATATACATCTTGTCCGTCTTGAGCCAAGGAACACAGTGGTGTACAAATCTAGATTCTAGGTCAAACGGTCGATGAGTTATGGGCAATTTAGTACTTTTGGTTGCTGTAGCGCCACCTATGGGCCAATCAGGGTCATAGTCTGATAGGTTCTCCCCAAACCGAGGCCCTAGCACCTGGCCAGGTTTCAAGTCTCTAGGCCTTACGGTTTGGGCTGCACGATGCGTTTTAGGTTTTTTTTTTTTTTTCAAATAGCAATTACAATAGGTTTTCAGCACTTCGTGCTTGAACACCTAAATACATACGCACTGTCCTCTTCTTTTGACGCTGTTGTAGCGCTGCTGCGGATTGAAGAACACGCTGAATGACACTGACTAAAATACATCACAATCACGAATTAGTCTCTATAGTATAGAGTTAATTGTAACTATTTAGGGGGCTGGCTGGGTGGACATATAGGGGAGCTAAAGCCCTCCTAAATTGGCCCCAGTGATGCCCCTGGTTTATCCTAACAAGTATGGGATAATAAGGGCTTCTTCAGCGAGAGCAGTTCAGGGGGTGTCATACCACATTTGACTATTTATAACCCAACATAATGACAAAGTCCTCTGAAGAAAATCATGTTAAGGTTATTTAACAGTCAAATGTAATGGGCAGTTTGTGGTTGGGGAAGCAATAGTGGATAAGATTTTCCTAAAATAATTTTCTTCTTGTTTTTTTACGTTTAAGTCATTTTAATGGGGGATTTTCCCTACATAAACACACCATCCCTAACTCTAACATTAAAGTGCAGCTAGAAGATTAAAGCCATGTGTTAAGCTTGTTAGTTCTGTTGGTATGATGACTCATTCACTACACTAATAATAATCCACTTGCAGTGGCAGGGAACAAACACGAAGACGGAAGACTAGCAGTCAGGGAAGATGTTACTCAGAGGAGAAAATTAAAACTGTAAATCTAATAAGACAAAGACCGTTTGTCGACATGCTTTCTAGAAATAACATATGCAATTAAATGCTGTTGTGCTTAAAACGAAGTGTCCCACTTTGACAATAAAGTAAGGTGTCGAAGTTTGGACAATGTCGAATTGGGGTTTATGAATAAATTGAAGTTAATATTATTGTAATTAATTATTTTATTAAATTATTTGGCATTGTAGCTATTTATATTGCTAATGGCAAATTTTTGAACCTTTATATTTATTCACCATAAATATAATGAATGTAACATCTATCTATACAATATAATCGCATATACCTGTCACGAACCCCTGTGTTTAGTGTTCCTTGACTTTTATTTTGATATTTTTTTGTCTTGCTGCGCCTGCGTTTAATTCCTGTTTGCCCTTGTTTACCCTTGTTAGTCTTCATAGTGTTTAATCAGTCTCACCTGTGCCTTGTTATCCTCTTTTTAGCCTGTGTAAACCACTGTTTCAGTCTGTGTTTGTTGGTTATTGTCTGCGTCTCCTATGTTTCCAATGTCGTCATTGTTTGGATTATCTTTGTGTTTGTGTACCAATGGAATAAAGGCCGCTTGCTAATAGATCCTTAACTCTCCTCGTCCCTGCATACCCGTGACAACTTGAAGTATCCTTGTATCAGATGTTTAAAATGTCTAATCTTATGTTGGTTGTAAGATAAATATAGTGAATGTATAACAAGATATATATACAATTACCGGAGTAAACTTATATGTTATACTTTACCGTGTGTGTGTGTGTGTGTGTGTGTGTAGTATGTATGTATGTTTATACAGTATATGTATATATTTGTAAATATGTATACCCACACACACACACACACACATATATATATATATTCCTGTACTATTCTGAATGTAGGCAGACATTTTTTTTTTTTTTTTTTTTTTTAAGGGACAATGCAGATTAAATAACGTGAGCACTTAAGTCCGTCATGTAAATGTGCCAGGTTTAGCTTTAGGCTTTTTCTGTAGCCCCTGGCAGGTTGATGGTGGATATGCCTACAATTGGCAAGAATCATTTAGATCATAGGTCAGAATCATAAAATGATTTTTCTTATTCCTGTTTTTTATTGCAAATCTCAAAATATATTGCACCAATAAGGAGAAATGTTAGAGAATGGTCTGCAGATGAAATGAAGACTTTAATGGACTGCTTAGAGATCCCCGATTGGTCTGTGTTTAAAGGAATCATGTTTTGATTTGAATGAGTGTACAGAGTTACCTCAT